GAAAGCCTGAGCTGCAACATAGATAGTTTGAATACAAACAAAACACATACATGGCTTATGCTGATCGTAGTAACACAATGAAATGGTTATAAATAAGGTGAGCAGACTAATCTATCACAGAGCACAGGACAGAGCAATACAATGGTCTCATGCTAAAAGAACATTATTAAAGCCACAACAATACTTCTCTGCAAGGGGACTATTGTGCTTGTATACAATATTTCACAATGAGAATGGTTCCCTTTTACGGTATCATCATCTTAAGGGTTTTTCTGAAGAAAAACACTCAAAACCTCAAACATTTTGTTTACACACACAGGAATTCAACAAACCCCAAGTGTTAATTAACATGCTGTGGGGCGAGTTCTGTAATGACAAAGTAGACACCTCAATTTACATAGAAGGTAGTAAGACCAAGAAATACTTAAATTTCTTCTCTGAAGAAATAATAACAATAATCATAGAACCAGAAATTGGGTTCTTAGTCTGAACTGATTAAAAAACCTGTTGTTGCCAAAAAGTAAAAGAACGCCTTACTCAAAAATTACACCTGATGTGCCCTTCATTGAGAACCCTCCACATATTAAACAGTGAAAACACACTTCTGGCTTCTCCATTATTTTAACACTACTCATGCTCAGACCCAACAATAGAAAAATGAGAACATGTACAGCAGGATGAGCAGCACTCTTTTTATCAAAACAACATGTTTCATCAGCTTACGCCATGTTACAGTACTCAGCCTCATTTGAAAAACTGAAACAATTCTAGAGACTCCTGAAATAAGGGACATACGCAATACCTCTTACGACTTGGCTAAAAATCAAGTTCGGAAATAAAACTTTTAAGTCATACCTGAGAAACAGATGACCAACTTGAAAAAGGAGGTGGAGCTGCACAGCCTATTTTGAGCACACAGATCAAATGTCCTGCCTTTTTTGATCTGTCATTCCTCCAACAGCATTGTAAAAGAGGAACTAGACCTAACACAACCACGGATAGAGATAAAGAAGTGATAAAAGATCCAAGAGGCATTTGAGGGAAAGCAATGCAATCGCAAAAGGCAAAAACAGTAACTATCCTTAACCATCCATTTTTACACCCCTTCCCAAAAAGGGATTCGCAAAACACAAGACAGCAAATATTTCTCTTCTGCCTTGACCCTCTCTATCGATAAAAGAGGAGCAATTTCAGGTAATCATGCCTACGAGTAAGTAAAGCGTTTTCCAGCTTCCATGATTACTACCAGTTGTAAGCAATCTTGTACCCTCCATCAGAGGGAAGCGTAAGCTTCACTGACTGCTCCTAAATTCATTCTTCTAGCTTAGAACTATGCACTGACACTTCTACCTAAGACTCAAGCTCCCATGTCTACATGTTTTTGTGCAATTTAACATAAAACTATCCCCAAGGTTTTCTCCCGAGCAAACTGTGCTTACGTGTCTTCCTCGGGGCTTACTCACAATTACGTTTTTATGACAAACAAGACGGTGCTCACCAGTCTTTCAGACTGCGCGATTCTTCGTTACGGCTATTTTCTCAAGCTTCAATGTAGTGAAATTGACAACTCAGGAGCCTCTCAGAAGCAATAGTTACAAATGTCGATGGATGGCTGCCCACGCTGCCGCGGCTGGTGTCCTAAGGCTGGGCTACTCCCGCAGACAGCAGGTGCCGCGCAGAGCTGCCAAGGGCACCTCACTTCCCCCGCCGGGTCCCGGGCAGCGGCTCACAGGGCTCGGGCCCGGTCGTGGCCCGCGGCCGCACCCGATCCCGCTACCCAGGCCGCATTCGGCCCCAAGCGCTGGGCGGAGGCCGCGAGGAGGGCGGAGAGGAAGAGGAGGCACCGGGTGTCACACGGCCTGGCTGCGGGCGCGGGGCGAGAGGACGTTGGAGGCGATGGCGGTTCCGCTCCCGCAACACAATGGCGGCGCGGCCACTCCCAGCTCTCGCGAGAACTGCGGCAGGGCGCGGCGGGGGCGGAGCCCTGAGGGCGCTGAGGGCCGGCTGGCTGTGGTCGGTGGGCATAGCGGGCGGCAGTTGCAAAACCCCGCTGGGAGCGGCAGCGTTCACACTTATGCGCCCAGCAGCATCCCCACGGACGCCCGAATCGTCTTCCATGTTCAGCCTGAAAACTGCAACATCTGAAACAACTACCTTTTCCCTTTGCAATAGCTTTTATGTTTAAAAAGAAAAATCTAAATATCTTATACCTTGTGAAGAAATATCTTAATAAATAAGAATAATTCTTCATCTTAAGTCACATATGTTGATTGTTTCTAATTTTTGCAATAGAAAAAGCTAATAGAAGTCACAACACGTTTTAGAGAAAAGAGAGTGTTTAGACATCAGTGTTTTCTTTCATCTTCCTATCTAGGATGATGTCTTCAACCCAGGCTAGAGCAGTGGAATTTACTCCACTGGAGATGAAAATGTCTGTGTCTATTGTCCTTTAGCAAGAAATGTTAGCTACTAAAAACTTGGATAGCCTTAAACTATCTTTCTATATACCTATTATAAGAATCTAAAAGTTACACAAAATGGACACACACATACATACATACATACATATATATATGTAAACATATGGTGTTAAAAGAGTTTTTGAGCAAGAATAGTAGCAGTGTATGATTTTACCAAAATCTGTCTGAGGATAGTACGTAAGTAGGTGAGGTATGCAATATGTTTTACTTCTGTGTTGATGAGAATGGACTGGAATCCGGATACAACATAATTACTGTTATTGTCACATGGTGACTAATTCAGTGTTAAAGCAGAGAAGGAAGTGAGAGGAGCAAAACATCATGAATTATTAGCTACAGTAAATTCAACAAGGAGTTAATTCTGCTTTTCCTGTAATTAGCAATGGAATTGTCTCAAAAGTTGTCTCAAATTTATTTATTGATTTACCTTAATTTTTATTATGTCAAACACTTTTATGGGTAGAAACAAATTACTGTGATTAATACATAATTAAAACCAGAAAGCATTTGCAACTGTTGGTGAACCTATATCTCTCTCTTGCTCTTGCTTTATGATTGAACAGATTAATATCCCTTTCTTAAGGTTCCTGTAGGAAAAAAATGAAAATGAACATCTATGTTTTTTTATGGGAACTTAATAGGACCAGAGTAAATCTCTTCCTCTTGTGCCTTACACAAATGAGAAAATAAATATCGAGTAGATTTGACTTAATAAATCTAAGTGTAGTGAGAAAAATGTGTAATAATCCTGCAGACAACCAAGGTCAGTGAAGGAGGGAGAGGAGGTGCTCCACACACCAGAGCAGAGATTTTCCTGCAGCCCATGAGGAAGACCATGGTGATGTGTTGGGGCCCTTTGGCCTACAGGGAACTAAATACCAGGACGGTCTACTGGCATAAACTGGTTCAGGGAGCGGTGACAGGAGCTGGTTTTCTAGCAGGATCTGTGGCCTGGGTGGGAGGGGAACGGGGGGAGGCGGGGGACCCACACTGAAACAATCTCTTCCTGAAGGACTGTACCCCATGGAAAGAGCCCATGCTGGAGGGAGCACTTCTTAACTAACGGCAGCCAATGGGAAGGACCTATGCTGGAGCAGTTTGTGAAGGACTGTATGCTGTGGGAGGGATCCCATGCTGGAGAAGGAAAACAGCAGGAAGAGGAAGGTGTGGTAGAGAAGTGCCTGCTGGTGTTCACTGAGCTAATTTTCTTCATAGTAATTCATGGGAGAGGAGGTAGAAGAGTTAGAACAAAGCAGTAAAATTGAGCCTGGGAAATAGGGGAAGGGAAAGGAGATTGATTTTCATTTTGGCTTTGTTTCTCACCATCCTGCTCAATTTTAAATTGACAATAAATTTAATTAATCTTCCCCTAGTCAGTTCTGTTCTGCCCCTGATGGTAATTAGTAAGTTATCTGTCTGTCTTTATCTCAAGCCACATAATTTTTCATCTTATTTTCTCCCCCTGAACTCTTGAAGAGTTGGAGCGGGAGACTGGTTTAGTGGGCATCTGGCAGCCAGCCAAGGTTAAGCCACCACAGAGACACAGTTGGGAAAAAAAATACAGTATTGGAGATGCTAATTTTCTGATCTTGTATAGGCAGACTTATTTGTTTATTCCTTGAATGTTCCGTAAGTAGGAAATGTGTCAAACTAAATCTCTGTCAACTAATGACTTTTTCTTTCTCACAAGTGTGAGTTTGATAGCTCTACTGGGAAGATGGCTTTATTACTGCTAGGCACATACCCTTAAGTAAATCTAAATCTTCCTGCCCAGAAGGACTGAACCTGAAATCTCTGATTAGTGGCTTTTTCATTTGAAATTTGTGTGAAATTTGGCAAGTCTGAAACAAATTAATTAGATTATTTCCTTTCTAATAATGCGCTCAAACCTACTGGGTGTCTCATATGTAGTGCCTTACATTAAAAGGGATTAGTTTTCGATCATATTACCTTGATCAGGAAAAGGGGGAATTTTTATGTGTTACTTTGTGTTCCAGCTAGTGAAGCTATCTTCTCAAGATGCATAAAGGAAGTGACAGCCTTTTAATAACCTTCACCTTTCTTTTTATCTGCAGTCTCAAAGATCACTTTTTGTCTTCTCCTGCATGCCAGGATGGATGTGTGATCCAGAAATGTTCTAAAAGCCTTGACCCAGTGCCTGAGAAGTTGGGCAGAGGGGAAAAGGATGGGAGAGTTACCCAGAATAGGATTGTGAGTTGTGAGTGTTGCAAGCGAGGTAGCATGTTCCCACCCTGCAGATACCATTTGCTTGGGGGTTTTTGGTCAGAGCCTTAGGAGAAATACACAGTCCTTACAGAATACAGGGCCTATTGGCTTTTTTGTGTTGCATTTAGAGCTCATACTCCAGTGAACTCAGAGGGCTCTGCTCTGCTCTTCATTGTGGAAAACAGGATCTAAGATTCAGTAATAATTAAATGCAGGCTTCTCCTGTTTCACATGAATCTTAACTTTATAACTTTGGGTGGGTTTGGGTTTTAGGGAAACAAGAATGGCTTCGTCTTCCACAGCTTCAAGTAGTTTATTTCTGGTTTGTTTCTTTTATTTTTTCATCCTCTTCATTCTAAATATCAAATACAATATGAAAGGCTTTAATTTATATGCTTTGTACCATTTTTGACTTCTATAAAAAATGAATTGGTTTTATTCAAACTGTGCAGCCTAAATAACAAATATATAACATCACATTCAGAATAAGAAAACTTAGATCTTACATTTTAAATCAGATTCTTAGTATAATTAAGTAGCACTTCTTAACCTTTTCATTCTTAGAGCTTGAGACTACTAACAATTCTACTGCTTCCAAGAGTAGCCAAAGGAGATTTGGCCACAAGCTGTCAAAACAAGAAATTATCACAGCTAGAAGTATCTGCTTTCTTTGTATATGTTTGTTGAGTAGATGGGAACTAAAATGTTATGAAACAACTGCATTTTTCAAACCCACTATTTAAATTTGTATTAACGTAAAAACCTTTAGTGTTTTGGCTGATGGTTTAGCTGTGTTTGGCAGAAAGTCATAGAAAGAAAATGCATAGCAGACTATTAGCATGTTCACTTCTCATTAAAGATGCAAAGGATTAAAACATTCTAAAAATACAACCAGTAACATTTTACTTGTAAAACAATGAAATGTGGGGGGAAAGGCTTTTACAATGGGAGCAGCTCTAAATAGCAGATGGTAGAGCCTATTTAGAAGAATTTTGTGTGAATCCTATGCTGAACAAAATGTGGAATTTAAGCTGTAGTAAAATGCAGTTAAAGGTCAGAGATCATGATCTCCAGAGACAATTGTTTGCAGTATTTTCAACTTCTTTTACGTACAGGAGGCATGTGCAATGCAAGAAAGTGGACAAATCACTGCAAAAAAAGGTTTTCTTGGCAACAGAGAAGAATTTACTGCTCCTAACAAAGACCAGCATACAAATGGTTTTGAAATTCAGATACAGACAACTGTTGGAATAAAGAACTGACAATAATAATTCGTCTCATATCAGCTGGTTTGTAGGGAAAGGATATAACGTAGTTTTTTTTTCTAGGAAGTTGTCCCTTTGTCACTGGAGTACTTTCATATGCATTCACACTTAGAATCTGTAAATTGAATTTTTAGTCATAAGCATTTACAGAACCTGTAGTTCATACATATTAACATGGCATGTCACATCCTGTGATGCTCTGTGGTACGGAATATCCCTTTGGCCAGTTCAGATCCATGTCCTGGACATGCTTCTCCCCAGCTTCTTGTGTACCTCCTTGCTGACAGAGCACAGAAGAGTCTTTGACTTAGGATGAGCACTGCTGAGCAACAACCAAAAGCATCCAAATATCAATATTATTCTCATACTGAGAATAGTATGGCAAATACAAAATACAGCAGTCACTGGACCAGCAACTGAGAAGAAAATGATCTCTGTCCAGGTTAAACCAGGACACCTGTGCAGACATTGACATCTCTTCAGATTCTAGTAAAACTAATATTGCATATAGTATCTGCTGGTGGTGTGATTACTGATATCTTGGAAGTAGTTCTGCAGACTTCACTCAAGTAAGCAAGCTTTGTACATGTAACTGAGTAATATTAAACTTACACCTACAAATATTACTAACATGCTCTATAAGACAGCCTGTGACATTCTTTTTTAGCTCTCTAGACTAATTATCAAGCAACAGCTCTGATATGCTATGGGGCCTATGGATCTTCTCACAAACCATAATGGTTAGCATACTCATAAATCTTTGTAATACAAGGTTTTAAAAGAAGAAAAAAAAATAAAAGTGATATGAAGATACTGGCTGTAGCAGCACTGTGGTCCCAAGTTTGCAATAGGAGCTTGGGCTTTGATACCACTGACACATATTAAAATGTCTGTTCTAAAATTTATTGAAAACATACAGTTTTCTCTGGAAACAAATTGGGAATATCTGTTTTCACTGGTTTGGAAATGTAGCTTTGTTTTTACTCATGGACTACCTTGAGATGTGCCACTCTTCTGGACTAACTACAGTAATTTTTTCATTCCACAAATACTGAGAAGCCTACAATCAGGTTGCTTGTATAATGTATGCTGTATTTCTTGTTCCCAGTGAGGCCCATGCAAAACTAGAAAGCAATTTAATTTCCTTTATTTAAATGTACATAGTCCTAATGCTTTTGTATAAATGCACTAAATCTTAGTTCTAATTCATAGCCGTCTAATTTACTTATGAAAACCAAAAAGAATGGATGGACATTTTAAAACAAGGATATTGTACTCAGCCAATAGGTTTCAAATAGAATGGACTATTACAGTTGGAAGAAACCTACAACAACCAGCTAGTACAGCTGCCTGTCTTCTCAAGGGCTGACCAAAAATCCGAGTTGTTTTTAAGGTCACTGCCCAAATGTCTCTTCAAAACTTGGGACATCAACTCCCTCTCTAGGAGACCTGTTTCAGCATATGACCACCCTCCTGGTAAAGAAATGTTCCCTCATGTCTAGTCTGAACCTCTCCTGGCACAGCTCTGAGCCATTCCCACAAGTCTTGTCCCTGAGTCCCAGGGAGAAGAGCGCAGCACCTGCCTCTCCATGTCCATTGCTCAGGAATTGGTAAAAAGCCCCACGGTCACCTCTCAGCTGCCTTCTCTCCTAACCAGACAGGTCTAGATCCCACAGCTGCTCCTCCCAGGATGTGCCTTCTAGCCCCTCACCAGCTCAGCTGCCTCCTCCAGAGGACCTTCATGTCATTCTCCAGCTGCTGGGGCCCACTGCTGCACATGGACCACATGGTGAGGCTGCACCAATGGTGAGCTCAGAGGGACCATCTCCTTTTTGACTCCTACTGAGCTGCTGCCAACCAGCACCCACAGGCTGGGCATTGAAGATGTAACAGCCATTGATGCTCCTATACAGGAAGTAAATTAAGAACACAAATGCAAATCCCCAGTCAGAAACTCAGGAAACACATCATTAGGCTAAACACAGGACTTCCTGTGTGTCATTCTTGCATAATTGGATCTGTAAGAGGAATTTGCTGCATAATACAAGAACTGCATCTCTTCATGGTCAACTGATCCTTGCCTGGGAGAGGTAAAAATCAAGCTCAGTCTCCTTCTAGGAAAACTCTCCCGATCTTTTATGAAAATGTCCTTACAGTATTGACTAGGCTGTGCATATGAGAAAATAAGGAGGGTCATTGTAAGCTGTTACGCAGAAAAAGGTTTAAAATCATTCAATATTCATGAAACCAGGAAACAGGATTATTTCTCTTAAAACACCATTGCCTGTACTATTAATAATCAGACATATTCACATATGAAAAATTAGTTTGTTTTCACAGAAACAAACTGTTCTTCTGGATGAAAAGAAACTTTTACACATAGATTTTCACATCCAAGACATTATTTAAAAATTAAGGACCTATTTGGAAAGTTAATGAGCATAAATGAAGGCCTCATCCAAAATCCGGACAGAAAAATTGTTTGAAATCACACTTTTCTTTTGCTGATCTATTATATTTTCTTCCCTAAGACATATAGTTTTCTGTTGAACATATTTCTCTTGCTTTATTGATGCTTCCCATGTGATCCATCCTATTTTAGCCAATGCCTTCATAATACTTTCTTTCATATTAGCTGTAGCATGAAGCATACATACACTGTAAAGACCCATTGGATATTTTTGAGCTAACTCCCGCTTTAATATAGAAGGAAAATCAAAGATGGTCTTAAACCCCAGTATCAGGCAAAGTAGTGAGTAAATAGTACAGGAGACTATGAGAGACTATTTCTCCATTGGATGGACAGTGGTCTCAGCAAAAGGCCATCATGTTTTTAAAGGCCGAATTCTAATCCTTAGGTACAGGTGACCAATGTAAAGATTGTTGAGACATAAGTGCGTAAAGGCTTGATGATCCTTGAGGGTCGCTTCCAACGGAGAATATTCAGTGATTCTGTGACACAGCGCAAGACTCTGGATCCGCTTGGAGGCAAATCGCGGCTGTACCTCGGCAATCCACCCGGTGGCGCCCGTTCCCCCCGAGGGCCCGGGCCCGCAAGTCGTAGTCAGAAAGTATTTCGACTCTGCAGGAGGAAAATTGCAAAACATCTGTAAAATAACTACTGCTTTAACAGAAATCCTGGAAAATAAAAAAATCCTGGTTAAATAAATGCATTTAGCCTTTACCTGAATTTTCGAGCCTAAAAATAAGAAGAATTTAGCCAGAACAAAATACAGAAGCAACTCCAGAATTCACTGGAAATGGTGAGTTTCAGACCAGCTGGTGGGACTGGAAACAATCCTGTGGGGGTGGCATTTATCAGTTAACCACTATACATTGCCAAGATGTCACATACAAAAACTAAAGAAAGCAATAGTACACCAACAAAAGAGAAAAAAAAAAAAAAAACTTTCACAATATTTTATTTACTTTAAAATACCTCTATGTAGTTAGGAGTACCCATTTCCCTCATTTATGCAGCATCGTTTCTTTTTCCCTTGTTGTAACCATTTATTAGCACCACTTGACAGTAGCACTGACTGGTGAAATCATAATCAGACATCTTGGGCTGCAGTAACAACTGATTTTGATGTATCCTATGACGCTATTTCTCCATTCTCTTGTGAGGACTGCTGTTCACTTGAGTAGATCTTGCTCTGGAAAGCAACACATTGAAGCAATTTTATAACTGAATTATTATTGATTAACTGATTCCCAGTGATGTACAAAGAGGGGAAAGACCACTCTGCAAGACAAACTGTATCACCCCAATCCTAACACTCTCAAACTGCTTTTAAATATCCTTTGAGAAATTGCTTTGTTGCAACCCATTATGCTGCTTTATTATGTAATTTGTGCATACTTTTTGGTAGTTATATGAGAAGGACAAGGTCACTTATTGCATCACTGAAATAGCTGAGTGTATATACTGAGGATAAGTTAACCTCTTTAATTTTTGAAAATATCCATGGCATCTCCGTCTTCTAATAAATGTACTACTTTTCTTTGTAGGCCTTGCTAATAAGGCTCACATCCATGTAAATACCTGCAATTTCACCAGATTGCAAAACACCAGGTTTGCCTTGTTTCTATGCCATTATCAATATTAAAGATTCTTTTCATAAAATATTAGAGACTTCTATTCAGTTAGTCATAAAGGCTGATGCCACTTTATGCCTCCTGAGTCTCAATCCATTAAGAATTGTCAGGTTTGAAATCAGTAATGGCTTTATTATTTGTCTCCTGCTTCTTCTTCAAGATCACCTGTCTCCTAATCTCAGACTATAGCAAGAATTTAGCATTTTGCTGAACAAGTAATATTGTTTGGAATTTAAGTAATGTAGATTCAGTAAGAAAAATATCTACATTTGAGGAAAAGTGGATTGAATTATGGATTATTGCTTATCTGTGAAGTTAAAATCCCAGATTTTGACTAACTCTGCAGAGCAAAATAAAGGTCTCACAAAAGAAAGCTTATATCTGACTTTTTTTATAACATAACTCAGCCTGCTTCTATTTATTGTGCAGAATTTAAATTTCTTATGTTAATACATTTAGATTCCCATGATTACACTTAGCACAGTTAAATTTAGAATGTGGTTTTTTGGAAGGTGCCATACATACAGCCTCTGCATTATTGTCCCTTCATAAAATAAGAAATAAATACAGTAAAATATACTCGTAATTTCTCATAATTTAAGGCACATTCATGGCCTTAGTTAAATAACTTAGTAGCATAGCTATCAAAACTCTAGGTTCTTTTGTTTACTTTAGTAAATAAGCATGAATGCCAGTTTCATATGAGGAAATAATGCAGAGAAAAGCAAACACTTAACTTTAGTTCCGTAACCAACTTCTATGAGTTGAAAGTGAGAGGTGAAAACAAATACAGTGCACTCCTTTCAAAATCATTGATCTGTACTCCTCATTGCCAGTTCTAACATAACCGGTTACAGGTAATGTTTATTTTATGATAAAGAGTAATTCAAACAATTATCCAATTATCCAAAAATAAATATATGCAATTAACATTGATTATGGCCCTGAATCCAAATAGTGACGGACGGACAGACGGACAGAAGGAAGGAAGGAAGGAAGGAAGGAAGGAATGGAGGGAGGGAGGGAGGGAGGGAAAGGGAGGGAAAGGGAGGAAGAGAGGGAGGGGAAGGGAGGGAGGGAGGGATGGGGGGGAAGGGGAGGGAGGGAGGGATGGGGGGGAAGGGGAGGGAGGGAGGGAGGAAATAAAGGAAGGCCACAGATGACCAGAATAAACTGAGCCTGCATGTTACACCTTCTCAGAATTTCTGTCACAGCTCATTTAGACAACAGTTCTAGACTTTTAAAAGCCCAGTGCCATCTGAAGAGTCACACAGGATTTTTGAAGTGTGGATAAAATTGATGTTCAAAGCCTTGGGCTCACTGGTGCCTATCCACCTGGCATAATATTATATGCTTTATAAGGATCCAGACTGCTGGGTTTGGCCTCAGACTAAAATAAAGGTTAAATTATGGCTCTCCAACAATTTGTTTACTAATAAGTTTGGTGCTTTTTGCAGTGACTTTTCATCAGATGGGTAGTTATTATCCTGACCTGCAATATTGGCGACACTGATGCGGCTTTCTGTGCTCACCTTCACTCACGTGCTAAGAAATGGCAGTATTGTTGATATAGCATTTGGAAAAAATCCTGCACTGTGAGTTAAGTCTATTGCCTGTAGAAAAAAATGACATTATGACAAGGGGAAAAAATAACCGCTAATTCTATCATTCACTTAATCACAGTCTGCTTATTCCTTCTAACTTCTCTTGCACATCTGTTTCTGAAGTTGGCAAAATTGTTTTCTGTATTCTTTGCTTCCTCTATGTTGTATATACATATGGATTGATTTGGGAGTCCTCCAAATATGAAGTAAGGTAGCTTGTTTAACACTATACTAGATCAGCTATTTATTTTCTTTTTGCCTTCTTTTGCCAAATAAACACTTCTCTCCACTGGTACTTTATAATGAGGAAAAGGAGTATCCCATTAGAGCCGACAAATCAAGACTCAGGAAAAACCATCATCATTGTCAAAGTGAAAAAGAATAAACATGAGAAACTTGTGCCTTTATCACAGGGAAACACAGCTAATGGAAGAAAGCTTAGGAATAATGCAAAAAAAAAAGGAAAAAATAATCTCATTTTGAATAAATGACCTCGATTTTGTAAAAAAAATATTGCATTAAAATTTATATCTATCTCAGCATCTTATCCAATGATTTGCAATAAAAAAACAGCCATACATACACATTCTTGGAGGAGTGTGCAGTTGTCTGTATGCATCCATTAAGGACATCAAAGCAGCTAGTACCACGCTGCTGGGAAACGTGCAAATGCCAGGAGACAGCAGCCTTCTTACCAATTGCCTACTTAAAATGAAACCTTTCTGAAACTATTTACAGTGCATGGCAATTGTTTCCTTTGTCTAGATGATTGCTAAAAGAATTTTTACACCTGAGTCTTGTATAAAGTCAATTTACCCGCTTAGATTTTAAGTAGTAAGCTAGTATGTTAGTTTGAATGCTTTGTGTTAAAGTATACCTTGAAGAGCTTCTGCTCCTGCCAAGGAAATTAATTTCAAGTGAAGATCAGAGTAAATATTTTAGAAATTATTTGGAACAAATTCTGTTAAGATATTTCTTTCCATAGCCCTAAGTAATTTTTCCTCCCACAGCATGCCTCTGTTTATATTGGGAATGATCTTTTGCAGATCTCAGAAACTCACAGCTCTCAAAAATACCTGTGCGGTTTTGCCTGCCTTCTTCCTTTGTCCTGGCACACATCTATCTCCTGCTGCCTTTCCAGTAAGGTTTACTTTCAACCTCTGCCATTCCTGGTTGTCACTTTTTTTGGCTTGAAAAAGACAGGAATAATTATGTAAGCCATTCATTGATTACTTTTTCTTTCATACTTACATGTCTGATGTTAATAGTTAGCATATATAAATTCCAGTGTTCTGTTACAGACTTCTTGTGAAATCCTAGCAATGGATGTGCCCAGGTCTGATGGACAGACAGACATTGATGGAAGTGTGTTCTGAAAGGGGGCAACTGTTTATCTCTGCTTACCCTGTATCTGGAGCCGCTGCCCCTGCAGAGGTGACAGTGCTTGCACCAGCATGGTCGAGAGACATAATTCAATTGTGCTTTCCCAAGGAAATGAGGCTCATACAAATGCTCTGCCAGTCCCATTGTTTACTGTCTTGACCAATTTCAACCCGTTTTGAAAGACAGATAGAAATCTGTGTTCCTGTAAGTTTCCTGAAAATCAGTGACTGTGCAAAAACAAATGCCCAAATAATAGTAACCATTTGAGTGATAAACACAGGGTGTGTAGGAGGGGAGATTACTAGATCTGAGCCTGAACAGACAGAGAGAGAAGTTGCTTGTTGTGACAGAGATGCTAACTGGAGATCCTGAGTGAGCAGTAAAAGCAGATAGCAAAAAAATTTGTTGGAGGTCTAGTTTGGTGGCCGTATCTTTCCAGGCATGAAGGAGAATAATAAGAATTAATACTTTCAGTGAAGAAAAGAATGCAGGATGCATATGCTGTATATTCTGGTTGGAACAAACCTCCTGGCCAGGCAACTCTCATGGATTTACATTAGCATAACATACATTGTCCCCAGTCCTGGGAAGGATACCAAAGGGATCATGGGATAAACAGGACTACTGTGATAACAGAGGAATCCAAGGACAAAACCCCCTTCTTGATTGCTCTTTTTACTGAAAACTTGCATTGTGTACAAGCATCAATGTTCAGATTTCTTTTAATGACATCAATAAACACAAATTAAAATAGCTCTATGGCTAGTGGAACTACCAAAGCTTAGTTTCTTTTCCCTCTCCAGGAGGCCATATTACAGCTTTTGCTGTACTTAACAGAAGGTTATTAGGAGATAGGGCATGGAATCAATGCAGGGGTTATTACATTGCTTTTAGACTAAAGTATCTATTTTTTAAATTCAATTTCCTTGAACAAGTTGGATTTTTAAATAAGAACTAAGCTTACAAAAGACTAAATGTTTAATTTATAGAGACAAAAATATTCCTGGAATTAGTGACAAAATAAAAAAGATTCACTACCTTTTCACAGAATGAGGATTTAGAGAAAATATTTTTGATTTAATTTGCCACGCATAAAAAGCAACAGTAATGAAAATGACCTTTGGATTGAGATGCATAAGTAAAATCATTCTGTCAAAAATGCCAGCATTCTGAGAACAGGAATCTTAAATGAAACACCTCTCTAATCATGGGTCTCAAATTGCTCCTGTGTAACTTTTAGCAATGGCAATACAGATCAGTTCACAAATAGTGTTTATTATTGCATTGACTGTTAATCAAGTGATCTGTTGGAAAGCAACTGAAGTCAAAATATGTGGTGAGAGCTGGACGGTTGGGATGGATGGAGACGAAAGAGCTCTGGAGTCACGTCTCAGGGTATACGGTTTATGTGGGGCCCTGCTCGGAGCTGCCAGCCACAGCTCGAAGCAGGCCCCAGGGAGTGGGGGAGGGCGAGACAGCAAGAGAGTTCCAAGAGAGGGTCCAAGCGAGTAGGAGAAGGGGCTGGAGCGAGGGGTAGGAGAGAGAGAGAGACAGGGAGGGCGGCTGGTCTCCTGGGAACACCTTATCAAGGGGGTTTCAGAGGGCGGTGCGGAAAAGTACTTTGGGCCAATGGGATTACAGATACATCATACTTCAGGGGAGAGTTACAGGTGCAAGATAGACTCTACATTCTTGAGGAATGAGACAGAACACTTTATCTGACCCTTTGATTTGTCTGTGGGTCAAAAAAGGGAGTTACCTTCTATTAGGTACATCACTGTCCACCAGTGCTTAGCAACCAAGGTCTGCCATCTCAAAGCTCATCTTCATCTCAATCTGGCTTGCATTCTCTGCACTTTCCAAATCCCCCTCTAGGCAATCGTACTTATAAGGCCTTCTTATTTCATCTTCCCCAAGAAAAATACAAAGCCAGATTATCATAGTTGCTTGTGTGTACAAAATGAAGGACATCAAGCTTCTACTTCTTGTACGGTAGTAACATACACACTATTAAGGCACATAAGGAATTTATCAATTCAGAGACAAGAAGTAGGCTCTAAGTAATGATTTTTTACAGGTGAAAATTAATCTGGAACAAGAGCAGACATGAATTTAAACCTATTATTTTTAGTATGGTCATTAGGCCATCTATGAGAACATATTTATGTGATAGTTAATTCTGGAATAAGTAGTCTTGATTTGGCATGCCAGTTTATATGTATTAGGAACGATTTTATCAGTTTTCATATGTGGCATATTACAATATGTATTTGCCAACTTTGCTTGATTAGTTTGGATGCTCAGGTCAAGCACCTGTATTTGGTGAAGAACTTTGCTCAGAAAACAGCTCTAAATTTCTGTGAATGGAAATTGGTGAATACCTTATACTTCCTGAAAACAGGTTGCCAAACTGCATATTTTGGTAATAAAGATTAACTACTGAACCTTCGGTTTAATAAAAAATATTTCATGTCAGAGGTTGAGACAGAAAGCCTGCTTTCCTGAGTGGTTTTCATTTTCCTTAACTTAAAGAGTGACAACTTAATATCTCATTCATTTTGTGGTCCAACTTCTGCAGCAACTGGCTCAGGAATTGCATAGATAACTGCCTCCTTTGTCTACTGCCCTAATACCCCACCAAACTACACTAGAATAATAAGCTCATGAGAACAAAGAGGCCAAACTGATGTCACGCATGAGTTTTAGTCATGTTTATTCTTGGATCAGAGAGCTTGTCTGTGCAGTCTTGAAAATATTTTTTTGTTATAATAGTAAAATGTAAGGCCCATAATGTACTACAGGTTTATTCCTATAATATGTTAATTTTCAGTCCTTAGGCCTGCTCAGCTTCATGGATGAGTGACATTTAATTAGCTATCAATTTTGTAGCCCCTTTCAGAAAGATGAATCTTAGATTTTTGTCTATTCAGTTTTCTGAAAAATTTAAACTGTTAGAATACGAATCAAAGTTGTCGATTTCCCCTGCTCCCCTCCAAAAGTCTGCTCTTTCCTTCTTTCTTGGTTTATAGCTGCCACCCAGAATTTCGGTAACCAAATGCCTCTTTTTTGGCCATCCAAATCCCTACTGCCCTGCAGTGTTTTTAGACATACACATCAATGTGTAGCTTTCTTTTGTGAGGAAGCCCTTATGCACATAAGCAACCCCAGTACTGTCCTCTGGTGTGGATTTTCAAACACTGACAAAAAATCTGGAATTTTGAGTGGCTGCACTTACTATTCTGCATACATCTTAACATTCACAGGAATTAGATGATCTTTCACTCAAACCATTCTGTGATTCCATATAACTGAAACAACAGAATGTGATGACAGCTCAAACAGATCAGATTAAAGGGGATGTCATGAACACCAATTCATGTCCACTCAAATTAAGAACATATGGGCAGGTGTGGAAGATTTAATTTCCAGGGCTGACTGCATCAGCCAAACTTTCAAGACCTAAGCTGTTTAGTGCTCTAGTTGTGCTGGGATTTCAACTTAGTCCTAGTTGAAATACAACTAATATTTAGGCTTGAGAACAAAAAGCCTTATTTCTCAACTTCCTCAAATTGTGTAGGAAGCTTAGTCTGGCTAGGCCAAGGAACCTGCACCCCCTCACCCCCCAACTTATTTTGGTTCCATTACCTTCAGTGCACATAGAAGACAGCCAAGGAATCTATAGATGCTGCTGACCACAACTGAGGAGGTCAAGGTAAGTCTCAGACAACCGTAAGAAGTAACTTAGTAACTAATCAACAGAGACTGGAAAAATATTAGTAAAAAATAATGCATAACTCAAGGTCTAACAGCAAAAGCATATACTTTTGACAGAAAATTAATGCTTGGTAAGAATGGGTTCACAAGTTCAGTGAATCGTTATTAAACATCTTTTCTTAATAAATGCTCACGAAGGAAAAGACTATTGAGGACTTGCTTAATGATAGGTTTCAAATATAACTATGGGAATTCTTTACTAGCAGTTTCCCTGACATCATCTAGACCTCTTGACTGAAGAACTATAATGATACTATTCAGTTACCTCTTCAAGTTGTCTGAGACTTACCTTGATCTTCTCTCTTGCGCTCATCAGCATCTACAGAATTTGTCTCTGTCTTCTGTGTGCACTGAAGTATACAGAATGAGATCATTTCAGGTTAGTCTGCAGTGGAAAATTGCCTGTTGTAGGAAGTTTGTTCTTACTCTTAAACAATGTTCAACGCTGGAAAGTCTTGTTGAACTGCCTCTACCAACACTGATTTTTGAGAGCAGATAGTGCATAGCGTAGAGATCAAGCCTTTTTAATAATTCTTTGCCATTACTCCAGCTTTTTCATAGTGCTTTCACAAAGCACAGCCTTTTAAGAAGCAAGTACACCTATCTGCCTTCTTTGAAGAAGAACCCTTGCCAGTGAAGTAGGTGAAAAAATTTAATGGTGCGATAAACCACTGCAGTTGAGCATGGGGGTCACCTCCAGTCAAATTTGTATGAGCAAAAACCAACTTAAAGCAGAGATATAGTTTAATAACCAGGATGTGACTTGGACTCAAGTGCTTCAGTCTGCAGCTAGTCTGGCAGAGGGAGCACAAACTCCAAAAGGCAGGGTCTGCTCAGTCCGAGGCCATCTGTCCGAGCTGCCTTGCTGTGCAACCGGGCTGTGAGGCCATGCCTGCCCTCGCAGCCGGGCCCCAGCGCAGGCCATTTCTGCTCACCTGCAGGCAGGGCCCCGGTGCAGGCCCTCCAGCGTCCTTCCCTCACGGGCCCGGTGCGGGCTGCGGCGGCCCGAGGGCGTGCGGAACGGCGCCGGGCAGCCGGGCAGCCGAGGGCAGCCGGGCAGCCGGGGCGCCGGACAGCCTCGGCCGGGCCGGCTCTGGGTCCCCTGAGGGCACCGGGCGGGGACGCTCCGCCGCGCTGCCCTCAGAGCCGCGGGACAGTGCGCGGCTGGAGCCGCCCTGGGCTCGGCAGGCGTGGAGGCCCGGAGCGACCTCTGTCGTGCAGCTTCTCCTCTGAGGTGTGACGCTGTCAACAGCCGGCTCGGCTCCGATGTGTGCGCTGTCTTCAACTGATGGAAATTACAGCCACAGCCGAGTGTGGGCAGAGGGCCACTAATATGGTGAAGTCAGAGAAAAGATGCAGGGTCTTGCCATGGAGGAATACCATTAGAGGTATTCCACTATTTGCCCTTTCTAATTATTTTTTTTTTTAATAGCTGATTAAAATTTTTCCTAAACTGCTAAAGTACAACAGGAAATAATATTGAATTAAGTATGTATAGTCTGCTAAAAATCCTGGGAAAAGCATTGAGGTTATTTTTAACTCTTGCACTTCATGAACATACACAATCTTTTATGAGATGCATAAAATGCAGCTGTATTTATAGCTGCTGAGTATGAGTTGATGTAGACATTCAAGACTAGACACTGAATGTTTCTGGCTGTTTTTTATTTATCTGTTTATGTTAAAACAATAACACAAGAAGCATCAAAGTGATCTTTATTGATTTCTCTGATCAAAATGTGATCAGAAACTTGAATTTTCAGAAGCTAAAATTTGGATGACATAATTTAAGAATAGTGCTTGTTATAGTCATAAAAAGTTCAAACACAATACACCTTTCCCACTTATGATAATTCTTATGAGCTTTCACAGAAACACAAATCAGTCATTTTACCATGCCAGGAAGTGATTTAGGTGGCTTTGTCATAGAGATCTCTGTAGTGGATAGTAATAAATTTATGCATTTTTAGCTTTCAAACAAAGAAAGTTAATATAATGTGGAGGGAGAGAAGGGAAAAGGTACAGGAAAGGCTAAGACTGTGGAAGTTTTGTGTTGTCAACACACGAATGCCCGATTTCTACTATTCTAGTTACATTAAGTATCTTTTTGTTACATTTTTTTTTGGCCTAAGATATCCCCAAATATATAACAATAAATGTAGGGTGTTTAGAATTTTCAGTAGTATGGAAAAGTCCTTTTCATGCTTGCTTTCCTGCAAAGAAATATTAGTTACTTACATAAAAAACAGCAAAAACCAGCATGAGATTTCCATACTACATGTTGCAGTCTTTTCAGAAACACTAAAAAATATTCAGGTTCATATTCAGATAGTTGCAATAATACTCTCTAGATCCATAGTTCAGCTTTCTGTAGTCCTGAAAGAAGCCTGATCTTTATTTGGGTTATGTTGTGACATTCATGGTGATAATGTTCCGAGGGTTCTAAGATAGTGCAAATAGATGTGACATCAAACAGATGATGCAGAAAATATGATCAGATTAAGAAATAACAGATTAGCAAGAGATTCTGAAGACATGGCGATAATATAATAACATTTTTTTTTTTTAACGGCAATAGTATTGCACTTGGGAATATGATCTCTGAACTCTCTGACAAACTGTATTATTATAAATTCCTAGAAAACTATTAGTTTAGGGAATGTGTACTTCTTTATCAACATATACAACTAATCATGGTTCAAAACTATTTCTAAGAAGCTTTTTTCTAATATTTTGAAGGTGGAACTTTACAGGATTTAGAATAACAAGCTTATGATTTCAGCTCTTAGTTCTGTCTATTTCAATCCTTGTCCATAAAAAGGACATAATCATTAGTATTTTTTTAATTTAAGAGTTACTGTTCATAAGGCAATGTATGAATGTAACTTTTAAGGGCCTTTGTATATTTTACCTTTAAAAATAGCTCTCATTTAGAATAGCATTTATGATGTTGGTGGGGGAAATTAAATATACTAATGGGTTGATTCCGTTAGGCTAAGGACATTCTTGGACATTAGACCTGTGTCCTCTGTATTTCCTTCAGTTAGTGGCATTGTTGTAAAAGTCATTAACTCAATTGCTGAAGAGAAGTGTTAGTGCATTTATCCTCCAGCTTAGGTTTTTTTTTTTTTTTTTTTTGCAGTAATCTTGGCTCTGTTTTACATATTTTCTGCTTTATGGTTGCATCACCAAGGTCTTGAAATATAGAAATGTGTTTATAATTTCTTTAGGAACATGGCAAACACAATAAGGATAAACTACGAGAAGAGCTAGAAGCTGAAGAATCTGAACTGTGTAAGCAAAACCAGGTTCTGCCTTGAAACGATAGGCTGTGCAGGCATATGAGACTTTAATTAAATAAAACTTGAACAGCATGTGTCTCTTTAAAAAAAAAAAAGAAAAAGCCAGGAACCCAACCACCCAACCAACCAAAAAATCTTTGCTCTGTCACAGTATTGGTGTTCTGCATTATTCTGTTTTAATATATAAAAATCACCTGGACAATATGCATAAATTTGATGTAGCCTTAAAGGTAGCCAACTGGATGGTGTTTTATGGATAAAATTATTAAAAGTACACTAAAGACAACATAATTAATAGCCTACATGCAATCTGAAAATATGTATACTGACAAAATAATTTGCCACAGGTCTTTTTGGTGCATACAGCACTATATATTCAGTAGTAATATGCTGTATTTTAAATTAAGTTCATGGGCAATTAACTAAGACTGTGCTGAAATTTTTGCAAGAGCTCTTAATCCTTGTGACCTGGCCAGTTCCAAGTTGGTTAATTACATAAGATTACTTCCTGCTTAAATATAGTTTGATAAGAGATGCCATCGCTTCCTCTCCTAAACTATTGTGTAGTCTTGTCTGCTATGTAACAGCTGTTGTGTTCCACCCTGAAAGAGCTTCTTTTCACTTTTGGGTGCAATTACTACAGATCTACACTAAATTTTGAGGTAGGCCTTTTTGCATCCTTGTGGTTAAAGAAGCAACTGGGGAAAAAAGCCCCACACGACATCCTTTGATCAGAGAAAACTAACCGTAGTTTTGTTCCATAAGAAGAGACCTTTGTAGGTATAAGAAAATTAACCAAGTTGTTACATAAGGTATTTTATAGACTGACACAGGGAAGGGAAAATGCCAAATATGCCTAAATAGTAAAAAGCATCAATTTTTTGGAAGAAGATAAAAACTAACTTTTTGCAAGTTAGTATTTAACAATTAACAATTTGCAAGTTAGTATTTCCTTGCTTCAATTCTTCTAAAGCACCTAGTGAAAAAATTATACGAAACTAATCCCCGATTCTTTTGTTTTTATGTATGTCTTTTAGACACTTTAATTTGCAAAGATTTTGATAGAACAATGTGAGCTGTCATGGTAATCAAAGATTTTCAATACCTTATTTGCTAACATTGCTGTCAATGAGGTTGGTGCTTTTCCAGTCAAACAGGAAAACCTAAGTATTTTCTAATGTAGAGGTAATTTATTGCCTGACTGTAACATTTAAAATTACCTTGTTTTTTTCATTCATTCCAAGGGTAAATAAAACATCCTGGATATATGTCCCAAACAACTGGCAGTTGAAAGCACCCTTGTATTTAAAATCCAACATTGACTCTGAGTACAAGTCAGAGCCAGATATTTTAACTGTAAAATTTAAGAGGAATGTCAGTACAGAAGGGACCTAGTGAAGAACATTATTTATCTCTCTACTTTCAAAGGGTTAGTATTTTAATTGTTTAGATTGAGCTGGCATTTCTCACTTTTAGAGATTTAATTGGTTAATAAAAATACTATTTTTGATCATAGACATGAAAGAGATGCTGGAGGAGCTATGGAAGGCAAGGTTGGGGTATGAGAGACTGCTGAAATGGGATTGGCAGAACAGATCGCAGATTTCTCTATCATTTAAGATGAGCAGAAGTATCTGTTAACAATTTATGAGTGAAGGGAAATAACACATAGTTGCTTTCACCTCTCTCCCAGTGAGATGTGTTCTAAGAAGAGTGCACTTCCTATGCAGTGTATTTGGTAAGTTGTCTGTAACATAGGCTGATGCAGAAGATCCTTAAGGAAGATTTCTAGGCTTTTATAGAGTGTATGAAGTCTAGATTCTTGCAGGCTAGATTCTGTTCCATCTTTCAGAAGTTCTTACTTTGGTACTTCAGATCTGTGTTTTCTGCACAGCAGTCACCAGTTGTGACTGCTCTGTGAATTAATTTAGTTCAGCACCTTTGCAAAACTTTAAAACAAAATTTCCCTACATACTGATTTACAACAATTACACAGCATTTCTTAATGAAAGCAACTTAGTAATGAACATATCAATCCAGTTGCAGAACTATTAAATTATTTTTATACTTTTAATAAATTTATGTTTTTAAAGATTTGTTGGCCTTTTGTACCTACACCCTCATTCATTGTAGTAGAAGTAGATACTCATTTGACCACTCCAGGATGGCATAATAAAACCATGTCTACAAGAGCATAAAGCCAGGGGTACTTAGAGATCCTAAATTGTAGAAATAGCTGTCAGAGAGTGGTAGCATAACCTCTGCAAATGCTTACAAGTATCTGTGATGACAATGAACCTCCTAAATACTAATTCAGCAAAAAGGCTTTCAATATTTTTGAATGTAATGTTTTAAAAACAGATTGAACATCACAAGTGAATGATATATTCAGGATTTTGTGAAAATCAGCTTTTTAATTTTTTTAATTAATAGTATTCATTAAATGCTAACTATTTCAATGCTTCATTGGGGATGGACTAGCCCTACTAGCCTTGTAAAAATGATATTTTTGAGTGATGGTAACATTCCGCTGGTCCTTACAATGTGGCAAGTCAGTTTTAATATATTTTATGACAATAAAATGCATGCTTCACAAATAGTGTACAGAACACCTGTTAGGAGAATTTTATAATATAGTTTCTAGTCCTTAGTGAATACTGCATAGCCTTTTAAAATACTTTCAAAGACTTTTTGTTTGTTTAGGTGTATAAGAAGGTCTGTCTAGAACAGATCCTGTTACAAGATCACAGTTTGGAAATGTTGTGTAGCCTCACAAACAGCTGGATTGCTACAGAGGAAGGGCTGTAAACCTGTGCTGCTAGCCTGTGCATAGAGGTGCAGAAGAGAGAAAAATCTTAAACTGTCTGTGCCTCTGGAGAGATCATGACAGTGAACTCTTCCTCTGTGGTCCCACAGGAATTTTGGATTTGACCTTCCAGACATTTTCGCATGGTA